ATCAAGCAGCTGAACTGCCACCTCAGCATGCACGACACAGTCTTGCTAATGGCCTACTAATGTTATTCAGGTGTGTTGCAGCAGAGACACATGGAAAAGTTTCAGGACACCAGCCCTCGAAGACTGGAGTTTGACCCCCGTGGCCTAGTAGACCATTATGGAGGAAAAATAATAAATAAATAACGTCCAAATTCTCACGGCCCTGACTGTATCCATGGCATTTGAATTTTAAAGTTTCACCAAAGCCATCACATGCAGCTTGGAGTTGATTTGGAGGAGGCTGAACAAGTATCTATTTCTACGATCAGAGTTAAAAATACATAAGAAAATAAGAAAATCTGAGTAAACATGAGTGCTGACATGTAAAAGTGTATTAACGCTCATTGTCAGTCAATTCTATCGTGGAAGCAGAGTTACTAATTATTCCTACTTGCTCACGAGCTGCATGTAAAATATTCTGCTGGATATTCATCGCATTTTCATAAAAACAGGCAAAGCATCTGGGGAAGAAGGCGCATCTGATGATTATAGCTGCTGTATTGTGGTAAAACTAGCTCATTCACACTGCTTATTGTGCTGTAATTCACTGGCTTGTGAGCATAACAGGGTGATAATCAGATGAATGCAATAATCTGATGTTAAAGAGTCAAAAAAGGTGCACTGAATGCACTGAATGTGGAAATGCTTCTGAATGGCTTTCATGAATTTTATGTAAAATATGTCTCTTATCGAAATGTGAGACGATGCATTTCCATCAAGCTGCATGCACAAAAACTTTACTGTGAAGAACTTTCTTCAACTCACCCTGAGTCAACACACCTGAATCACATGATTAGTTCGTTACCAGGCCTCTGGAGAACTTCAGGACATGTTGAGGAGCTTTTTTAGCCATTTAAATCAGCTGTGTTGGTTCAAGGACATCTAAAACCTGCAGGGACACCGGCCCTCGAGGCCTGGAGTTGCCCACCCCTGCTCTATGGTGTATAACAATATTTGTCATGTATTTGAAGCTTGATTAATGACTGACTGTGCACCACCAATGTGAACCACTTAGATGCGCACTAACTTATGCTGTAAGTCCTTGTCTAACATGAATATTTGTACCATTACAAATTATTACAAATTATTTTTGTCACCATTCGTGGCTCATTTCAAGAGACTTTTTAAATATTTGCCCAGTGAAAAGCCACTTCCTGATGAAACTGTGGATATTACACTCTCCACACTCTAGAGAACCCATCTAATTTTCCTGTATATATTTTCATCTGCTTATTCAAGGAAATGCATTATTGAACTGCAGGCCTTTATTGCCACAGAGTAACAGTACGTTTATTATGCTTTATTACAGTTTGAATATATTAAAACTGAAGACTGCATTCATATGTTTTCAGAAGTGTAACCTCCACGCTATCAGAGAACGCTATCTCGCTTTAGTTTTAGCTGACAATTGAACAGCTCCAGCCTCTCAACCAAATAAAGTCTGCTGTGAAAAGAAAAGAAGATTACGATTAAATTAAAATCATGACAGGAGGAGGAGGAGGAGGAGGAGGAGATTAAAAGATTACGTGAAGTACCCTCAGAAGGTCTGCTAGATGATGTTAATGCAGCACTACGGACGATACCTACAGCCACGATTACAGAGACTAACAAGCTGATGTACAATACGGCAGCAGTGATCAGTGAGATGCTTGGCTACAACAGCCACAAGGGGCAGTACCCTCCATGGAGAAGGAGGCTAGAGGCTAAGATCAAGGTAGCACGGAGGGAGGTCAGCCAACTATCGGAGCTGCAGAAAGGCGCGATGAGGAAGGTGATAAGAAATACAGCAAGCTGTCCATGCCTGAGGCCTTGGAAACTGCCAAGCAACAACTCACAGCCTTGGCCAGCCGCTTGAGGAGGTACACCAGAGAGATAGAAGGCAGGAGAATAAACCAGCTGTTCTCCACAGAACCAGCAAAGGTGTACTCTCAGTGGCAAGGGAACAATAAGAGAACAGCACCACCAAGGCTGGAGACGGAGCAATACTGGAAGAGGATATGGGAGAAGGATGCAACCCATAACGGCAATGCTCAGTGGCTAGAGGATCTGAGGGCAGACCACAGCGACCTCCCTGAACAGGGTCCAGTAACCATCACAGTGGCAGATATCCAAGAAAGGGTCTCCAGTATGAAGAGTTGGACAGCACCAGGGCCCGACATGGTTCACGCCTACTGGCTGAAGAAGCTGACTGCACTCCACGAGCGTCTGGCAGCACAAATGAACCAGCTGCTAGTTAACGAGAGACACCCGGAATGGCTAACCGAAGGTCTGCTGGATCAGTCCAGCATCCTGAGGTTGTACGCTAAGCGGACATAGTGGTGGTAGACAAACAGAAGAAGACGGCCGTAGTGATCGATGTAGCGGTTCCGAATGACAGCAATATCAGGAAGAAGGAACACGAGAAGCTGGAGAAATACCAAGGGCTCAGAGAAGAGCTCGAGAGGATGTGGAGGGTGAAGGTAACGGTGGTCCCCGTGGTAATCGGAGCACTAGGTGCGGTGACTCCCAAGCTAGGCGAGTGGCTCCAGCAGATCCCGGGAATAACATCGGAGATCTCTGTCCAGAAGAGCGCAGTCCTGGGAACAGCTAAGATACTGCGCAGGACCCTCAAGCTCCCAGGCCTCTGGTAGAGGACCCGAGCTTGAAGGATAAACCGCCCGCAGGGGCGAGTGGGGAATTTATATATATATATATAAATATATACACACACACACACACACACACACACACACACACACACACACACACACACACACACACACACACACACACATTAGAAAGCATGGTGTTTGGACCAATGATTGGATAAAAGCAGAAGTATGTGGATGCCTCAGTCGGTCATGGTTTTGGAAACTAAATGCTGAACCTCCTTCTCAGTGGCTGCGGCTGCCAAAGCTGTCATAATAACACTGCACCACAATTTTAAAGCATCCGACTTAGCAATTAAAATCAAGCTTATGACAAAGGTGACCCCTCAAACCCAACCCAGAGTGACGAGAACTGTTAATAATGGCAGAAAGAATCTTTGGGAAAAATTTATTTGTGGAGACTTTTTGTTTCAGGTTGACCCCTGTCTTATCCAGGGAGGGGGCAGGGTTATGACTTATACTGCAGTCAGACACCGGGGGGCGATAGAGATGGTTTGGCTTCACTTTTTGTGGGCGTGAGATCGTCTGCATTTTCTGCAGTCACTGGTTTCTCTCCGTTGAGTCCCGATGTCCTAAAAATGTCTCCAAATGAATCATTTCATGTGACAGATCCTTATAATTTGTCCTCTCAATCACATAATAATCATGGCTTGCCCGAGCAGCAGACGAACCAATATGACACTACAAACCTCACATTGTGGAGTCGTTCAAGTTTCAGTCATGTTGTATTTGGCTGAGAGTAAACCAAATGATGGAGGTCAGGTCTTTCCTTCACTGGCAGATTTAGTCAAGTTCACGTTTTCTTTGATCTCTACCAGGTTTGATTGATGCACCTCACAGTAACTCACTCACTGCTCAGCAGGAGAAATCCACAAGTCCAGAGAGCTGCTCCAAGGAAAATGATCATATGACCACAAATATGTGCTGTGAATCAGCTGCCTGTTAGTTTTGGTTTTGATTGGAAGATTTTGCCGCTGGTTTTAAATGATTTACATGAGAGCTCTACTCATACTGTACCCACGATTTTCTAAACTGTCTAAACCTGAATAATAACGGTCCTCTTTTAAAGCCCTCTTTAGTGTCATTGCACCTGTTGAGGTTAGGAGCTGCAAAATACAGTTGCTACTTCACTAAAGTAGTAGTACTCAGACTACTTTGCAAACAAAAGTGTCATTTTTGCATTTGAGTAATGCAAAAATTACAACAGCAACAACAAACAAACAACCTAATGCATTATTTTCTGTTGTTCTTGTGTTTCTTGGCAGATAGCTCTGTGCTAGTGTCAGCTCGACAGCAGAGTGAACTGCAAACTGTGTTTGGTGAAACCGAGTGCATCTGCTGGTGCCCCAAAATGGCGATAGCTAGCACTGAGTTCAGCTAAAGCTATCAGTCTAGGATAAATAGATGAGCTGGCTGGTGGAGGTGATGCAACCAGTATGTGGTTGGTACATACTGGTAGGAGTCACAGTGGAGTGTTTGATCGCACAAAACTCCTGTTAACTTATATTTCTGATCAGGTAACATTACGGTAACACTGGAAGGTCCAAAGTTACTGTAAAAAGTCATTTAAATGTAACTCTGGGGACCAAAACAACGTTAACTCGTTTCGTTTTGGTGCACCATGACAGCCTCTGCTAGGTCTTGTTGTTTTTCACGGTCATGCCGATGTCTCTACGCTCTGATCTCAGTTTCACTGCGTCTGTTTTCCCTCGTGCTCACAGAGAGGCGCAGCGATAAAAGAAGGGAGCAGCTTAATACTGTACATCAGGGGTGCCCAATCCCGGTCCTCGAGAGCTACCGTCCTGCAGCTTTTAGATGCATCCCTACTCCAACACAGCTGAATCAAATGGTTTGATTACCTCTTCAGCATGCCATCGTGTTTGGCAAAGGCCTGATAACAAGCCATTCATTTGATTCAGCTGTGTTGGAGTAGGGATGCATCTAAAAGCTGCAGGATAGTAGCTCTCGAGGACTGGGATTGGGCAGCCCTGCTGTACATGTATTAAAATCTTCCCAGCAAATGCAAATGTGTCTAAAACAACTGAAGGGACTGACTCGTTCAAATTTATCTCAAGTAGTATTTTATCTTAGGGATAAGCCTCTTCCTTTGGAGACATTCTCATATGGTGCATTTAAATAACACTAATGATTTTCAATAATTAAAATCTAACAGATAGCCCTAGAAAATAAGTGATAAAATGGATTTTGGGAGACTCGGGCAGGAGGGATGAACTGTTTTAACGCTCATTATCAAGTAAATAGCCTTCTGAATGAATTCATATATGAGTGCGATAGATAAGGAAGTGTTATTACCAGCACCACCACGGGGTCGTGCAGAGGGCCATCGGTCTGCAGCGTCTCTACGTCGCCCTCGATGATGTAATGCCATTCAACGCCCAAGTCGATGAAGCTTCTGGACTTGACCTCCTCTCCTTTGCCGTTGAGGATGTAATGCCCCGTCGCCTGGTTCTTGATTGCTGTAATCAGTCACTTGTTATAAGCTGCTGACAAACTTGAAATAGCTTTACTTTCTAGATGACAAAGATCAGAATTATTCACAGAGAAAGAAAATGCACTCTCAGAGCAGTCACTCGGAAAAAGACCGTGCCTGAACAAAAGCATGTCTGAACTATTCCTCATTCTGTGCAAAACAAACTGCCAAACTCATAGTTTAATAAAACTTGTAAGGATAAAAATGAAAACTGGCATGTTAATCAGATGCTTTAAATACATATAAATGCATTTAAATGCATCGAGTGGGAAAAATGCAACACAAGTAAAAGATGCTAAAAGGATGTTGCAGATCATTTCTTTCTTTCTGCTGCTCAAGTTTTACTTTATGCTTTTAAAAAGCATTTAAGATGATCCACTGCAGCACCCGTCTGCTTTACAACAGTTTTTAACGATGCAGTCTCCAACCACTCATCAGCTCTGCATCCTATTAAAACAGGGAAAGTAGTTCCTGCTGGTTTCAGCTGTGCTATTTTGTTTGAAGTGCACCATTATTGTCAAACATCCAATAATTAATTTAAAAACACTACTATTACTTTCAGTTTTTTTCTTTATTTTTTTTTAAGAGTTTAACTCTTAATATTTTTATGTTAGTTTGAGATCAGTTGACTTCCTCCACTGTCAGTCTGCTTGTACTTGAGTTACAAATACTGACATTTGGAGCCTTTTTAACCACTTTGAGGTCGTTTTCCTTTTTGGCATATTTACTGTCTTCTAGCTGCACATAAACTCAGTCTGACTCAGAAACAGGATCCTTTAGTCATCACTATCAGTAACTGTTCTACCAGACCCAACATGCGACTTGACTAACTGGCATTTTAAAGGCAGAAATCGTGCTTTTTTCACTTACAGTAAATTGACCTTTCAATACAAAGACAAAAACCAAGGATGGATCCATCTACTCCATCAGAAAAAGTTGACACATTATGTGATCATTCGACTGACAGACGCGTGTTGCACGAGGATTAAAGAGTATAATCTGACATGTAATCATAAAGTTCTTCACTGTTTTCATTAAAGTTGCTGTTATTAGCAAACTGCCAGCTTGTCAGATTCTTATCACTCACATGTGTGTGTCTAGAATACACAAAGGGCCTCCTCCAGTGGGACAAACATTTCTCTTTTTTGTTCTTTGTGAAATTTTCTAAATGTTATTTTCTTAAGAGGACAAAGTTGGAGGGAATCAAACCAGCGACTACACTGATCCTGTTTCTGTGTTTGCTGCTGGTCGCACTCCTGACGGACTCTTCACCTTACTTTGCTTTTGTGTTGTTGGGTTGTTCTTGACATCAGAGTTGGGGGGACAGAAGTTGATGTTTGACTTTGCTCAGGTTTGAGCTCCAGGATGAAATCACAGACACACAGAACTTCTAAAAATAGCAGCAGCGCAGGAAGCAGTCCAAAGGTGCACAAGGACATGACCTTTAAATTGAATTCAGGTATTAATTTTATTTAGCTTGCACTAAGAGTAACTACATAATCCCATCTGTGGAGGTTATTTTAACCATTTATGAATAAACTTATCCTATAACAAGCCACGTCTTTATGATTCATTCCTGAATATGGCTGATTAATTCTACATGTCCTTGGTTGTTATTGGAAATTGAACTAAATAAAGAAAAACTAGTCCTATTTTGCAGAAAAGAAAGAGCACACTCATCTAGCAGACGATTAATAATGAATGCAAATGAGAAGATTCATTTTCCTCAACTTGGGAGGTGACAAGAAATGAATTATGCAAAATCTATGATTTCACAGAATCTTCCCATCAGTCTTCTGAGGAGACATGAGGAGGATGGCAAAGAGCTTTTTAAGATTTCATACATGTGTTCATCTCTGAAAATCACACTTACCAAGAATGTGAGGGGAGGCCTCATGTTCTTGGATGATCACATGTCTAGCTCCAGGAGGAATGAGAAACATCTTAAGGTAACCTTTGCCAAGTTTGCAGCATCAGCAGCAGCAGAAGCAGGACGGGGGGGTTAGGAAAGATAAGACAGAAACGGTACATTAAGCAGATACAAGGATAATCTGTTCGGTTTGCTGAGGCTGACATCCCGCATGTTCCAGACATTTTGTTCACTTTGCTCTACAAGGATGTTTGAAGAAGTTAAAGAAGGAAGAAAATGCTTGGTTGGCTTTCCTCCTCAATGTAAAAAGGTTCTATTGAAACAGGCCCTGAAGGTTTACTCGTGTCTATTTGGTTATCAAATGAGAAAGTCTCTGAAAGGAAGCCCATCGTCCTTTATTTCTGCTCACACCGGCTCTGTGCAAACAGGATGTATATGAAGAGAGCCTTCGGCCGTGTTTCAATAAGGAAGGAGGTAAAAAGCTTTTCAAACTACAGACCAGCAAAGTTGTCTGTCAGGGATGTCTGCCTCCTACAAACCCACCGTGACTCACCAAGTACATTTCGAGAGTCCTCTGTTTCATTTACAAACACATTTCGAGCTCCTTTGGGCAAAGAAAAGGCGCCTCTCGTCTTCCCTTTGGAATGAAATAAATCATTAGTCAGTATCACATGTCCCCTCCTCTCGTTTTCACTGTCTAATAGCAACAACATCACCTACAGGGAGACGTATTTAATGAGCATAGGAGGAACCAGAGCAATTGTCGCTGGATGAGAAAGCAAGCTACGTTTGCCGGCAGGGCGGCATCCGCCACTCACAGGAGAAAACTGCAGCTGTAATTACTCGCTTTTAGATTTGACAGACAGGCCAAACACTCTGGGTGTCCTGGCACGCACACATCGGTGCGGCTGAGCTGACTATAAATGCAACTGTACGCTGAGGTGCAGCTAACACAGGGTTACAGCAGGTGGCGGAGAGGCATTTTTACATGGTCTGCATTCCAAGTTTTGGAAAAGACCGCTTGCTTCCAAGAGATCATCGTCTAATCAAACCCAATTTCTCAGCCACAAGACGCTCAACAGAAATTACAATCTGATAACAGAGCGTGTGCAGACTGATACACCGCACACACGCTGGTTATCTAAAATGACCCTTTGGAAGCGGATCATTAGACTGAACCAGGTTTGAAATGGCCAGCTGTATTCAGACTGCCTTCAAAGATCTGCAGCTTTGTTTAATGTGGCATTTTTTATCTGGGCTAGGACGCTAAAGTTAGTTTGTTAGGCTGTTAAATAATAAAATACCACTAATATCACGAAGCGTAACTTTTTGTAAAGAGTTTTATAGATGTATGTCGAGCCTGTGACATCTACAAAAGCTAAGTCAGCTCTATAAAGACACTTAGTAACAGGGAACAGAAGAAACAGCAGCTTATGTCGAGTCTCTGGATCTCTACAGTGTTAAGCATCCATCTGTACTACAAGCTGGGCAGGAAATACTAGCAAAGGAGGCGCGGAGGGATTCAGTAACACTGGATACTTGCATATAGTGTTTTCGGACACAGCGGTTTCTTTTTGGGCTCTCTTGCTTAACTGTTTCCCTGTTAAAAAAGGTGAGTGGTTAACTGGGAGAGAGAGATGTGAGGAAACAAAGACGAATGATCACAGTTACATTAAAGTTCATCCTTAAACGATTTGATGAAGCCATCACATCGAGACTCGCACTTCAGTGAAATCCAATGAAATATGATCCATGACTGATGGAGCCGAAAACAAGGGTGGATTTTGGTGGTTTGGTTAAATGGCTGTCGGTGAATTTACAAATGTATTCAAAAATGAAAGCACATTATTAACATGCAGAAGGACATGATTATTTCTCTTTTAATTCATAAGAGCCGGACTGTTCAGAGTGACGGCTGAAGCAGCGGCGTGTCACTCCGGCCCTGTAGAGCCTTTTATTGGCTGCAAGGAAAAATGACAAAGATACAGCAGAAGGTGGTCATAATTACACCATTACACCAATATAACACCATTAATGTAAATCTGCATTATATTCACGGTAGAAAATAAATGAATAAAATCCTGAAAAGTGCAATGCAAAATTAATTCTTTCAACCACACTTGAATTTTCTTTCTTTTATGGAAACCTCTCATCTTTATGCTGTTTTTTTCATGTGTTCCAACAGGGCTGTTTTACTGAAACTGCATAAATGCAAATACAGTTTCTACCCATCTCCTCTTCTCTTTGCCGTTACGTAGATGACCTTTGTGCACTCATATAAACTTTGTAGCTGTGTCCAATGACTAAGCAAATAAAAAGCATCAACATCATAGTTTATATCAATATGTATCCAAATATTGATAAAGCCAGTGATTTTGATGACACTGAGTAAAAATAACAAGCACTGGCATCGATATATTTGATCCCAGACAAGTTCAGATTTCACTGCCACATCAAAATCTGCTTACATCAGAATTTGTTGTGTTTGTGGAAACACTTCATTACTGTCATTACTGCCAGCGTGAGGTGATTGTTATCTGGATAAAATCCCTTTCAAACACCCTGGTTTCTGTTTACATCCACCTCCTGCAAATAGAACAAATCAATTTTTGGCTGAGGAGGAGTATTTGCAGCATTTTTCAGCTGTATGGCTGCACAGCAGAGTCAGCTACCAGCTCTCGCACTATCCCGAATCGATTACTGACTACAGGAAATTATAAGTGGTCAGATTCCTCATTTGAGTCCGGCTCTGGCCATTTCCAGTGGCTTTACCCACAATTCTAAGGTCTGAAAAGTGGAACATCATGTGAATCGTATGTGACACCTTCAGAAAGGGTGTCCACATTACACCAGGAAGTCAAGTGAAACCAGTTACCTTTTCTCCATTCTTAGAAGGCGAGGCAGCTCAGATTGCTCTTGAACGACAGTCATGTACTGGGATTCCATGAAGTCATGTGACCTGCTGGGCAGAGGTAATGGCACAAAGCTTAGTGATGACTCACTTACAAATGGATTGCTGATTGTTTACATAAGAAGCTAGTAAAGCTAGCAGCTCACATTAATATAACCTTAGGTCATGTTAAGGTGACAACATCTCTCAAGAATCTCCCAAAAATTGAGCCTTCTTGTGCCGGTGGCGGCAGATGGCCCCGCCCCTCCCTGAGCCTGGTTCTGCTGCAGGTTTCTTCCTGTTAAAAGGGAGTTTTTCCTTCCCACGGTCGCCAAAGTTCTTGCTCATATGATTGTTGGGTTTTTCTGTATGTATTATTTACGGAGCCCCGCAGGGGACATGGAAGAAAAAAATATTAAGACGGACTTTTGCGAGATCTCGCAAAAGTTGAATTCCAACAATGGCGGCAGCTACTTAGTTGTAATATTACTCTTTCTGGGTCACAAAATACACTTTTAAGATATTTTGAGGCATGAATGTAGTTGTGTAAACGTCAGATACCTGCTCGGTTTACAAGACATCACATATTTGCAAAAGTGCTCCGACATTTTCGGAGATCTGACACCCACTAGCTCGAAGCTAACGGGAGGTCGAGACCTACTACAGCCGGGAGGAACACCGCTTTCCCGGCACATCGTGCCTCGACCTCCCGGTCGGCTTCGAGCTGACGGCCTCCGAAGAATGCGGCTAAAACTTTTGCGAGATCTCGCAAAAGTCCGTCTTAATTTTTTTTTCTCCCATGTCCCCTGTGGGGATCCGTGTTTATTGGAGGGTCTACCTTACGATCTAAAGTGCCTGTTGTTGTGATTTGGCGCTGTATGAATAAAACTGAATAGAATTGAATTCTTCTGCTTTAACAGATGTGAGAATAGTGCCAACATGCAACATTTCAACATTTGAAGCTGATTTTAAACATGCTAAAGTGCACCAACTTATTTCTGTTTCTGTCTAAAAATTACAGTTTTTATAGATTTTTAAAGAAATTGTAGAAAAAAAGTAAACAGGGGGTTGTAATTGGGCTGAACGCCACATGCAGGATGAGGACAGGTGAGGAAAGTCTGACAGAACTAAAGCATGAACTAATGGGTTTCTGGTGTTGAATGTGACAATACAGAAAACAGCAGCGTTATCAAACCCCGGTGCTATAATGGGGGGAAAGTCTCTACTCTGCTTGTGAGAAGACCATGAAAATACAGCAAAAATACTGAGATGTTAATGACCATCTGCATTCTATATTTGTCCCCAGCATGTTTGTGGCGACTTTAGTAAAGAATACACCAAATGAAGATTTGAGTTTATCATTTATAACTTAATGTTTAAAATAAAAGTGACTATCTGCATGAATGATCAGGCAGTTAAGAAAAACGCAGTTAAATAAATCATTCATGTGACGACAGTAAATAAAACACAACAACAAACGAACAATGATCCTGTTTAAGATGATGTGTGTTAGCTCCGAGCTCTTACCAGCTTTCTTCGGCGTGCGGGTGAAGGTTCCTTTGACGGTGCGGCAGTGAGAATTGTCTCCACCGCAAACCCCACATCTGTCCTCAACCTTGCTAGAGCCAATTTCTCTGTCACAGCCAACTTTCTGGAGACCAAGAAAACAACAACACAGATGAACCCCGACTGCTTTTTGGCCGAGGGCACGAAGCGTTACCATCACAGCGTGTCTGATGCTAAGCGGACCCGGCAAATGTCAGTAACAGATTCATTAGCTGTTGGTTTATCAGCGCCAACTGGACACGAGCTGATGTTAGCTGACTGCTGTTGGGGGTGGAAGACGAGCCAGGTCAGCATTTAAAATCATGACCTCACCTGGATGATTAGACACATCGAGGGAATTTCTTCCTATTCCTCGTTAGATTTTTATTCTTTGCTAAAAGGTGTCAAGTTTTGACCGTGAGCCAAAATAACTTTATGTCCATGGAGCTCCTAAAGCACCAAAATGTGACACAAGAAATCTCATCATATTCAGGATATTCAGTAATAAACAGAGGAAACTGTTTGCTTATAATTTGCCATGCTGCTCTCACAACTGTCAACTGAGCTGAAAACAGAGTGAAAAATGCCTTCAAACAGAAAAACAGACTCTTCTTTAAATAACATCTCAGAACAAATTAGCAGTACTGGATATGAACATCATAATGAAGCCAGCTTCTTCCTTCACAGCAGTGAGTACACACTGTGGATTCAATCACAGTGAACCCGATGCTGGTTTATTTCCATTAACTCTGTGTAATTAAATGAATTTGTGCAAAGCTTAAGTAGTCCAGCAGTCTGCAGCTGCTAACGTGGCTGACGAGCACACACAGCTCGTAGAAACGTAGTTTGATGTAGTTTAAAAGTAGTTTAAAAGTTCTTAAGGAACTTTTAAACCCTTATGTCCCTGCCAGGGCTTTAAGGTCATCCTCGCAGTTACTGTTAGTTCAGCCCAGATCTCGGTTGAAATCTAGAGGCGATCGATCGTTTGCCTTTGCTGCACCTGAGTTATGGATCAGCCTCCCGATTGGCATTCGGGAGTCTGATTCTATTTTTTCTTTTAAAGCACGCCTTAAAACTTATCTTTTTGAACTTGCCTTTTCTACCCGTTAAATGCTGACTGTTAACTGCGACCTATTGCATTAACTTTTTACTATTCCTTTATTCTTGGTGTTCTCTATCATGCGGCACTGGGTCTGCTATAATCTATGTGCTGCAGTCTATTTTATTAGTGGCTTTCTACTGTGAACATTGTCTGCTGTTCTTATTATATCTGATATTAATGCTCTTAACTGTATTATTTTATTGTTTTTTTGTAAAGCACTTTGGTATGCCTAGGCTTTTAATGTGCTCTATAAATAAAGGTTGTTGTTGTTTGAATACACCCTTACCACACACTCTCCACGCACGCAGATGCTGTAGGCGTCCTTGTAAGAACATCGTGTCCCATCATGCACCAGCACCTTCATGTACGCCACATCTTCTGTCTCCTTGGACTGGCAATACAAGTGGCATCTCCTGTTTGCTGCAAGACGATGAATTCTTAGATTAGCATAACAAACTGAAGCCAAGTGGTTTTGAAACTATCTAAAAGTTCCTTAGACAGAGAAAAAAAAAACACCCATCAATCTATTGTGGGTTGTTTTTTTTTGAGTGGTCAAAGGATGCTCAGGGTGCGTCGAGCTTCCTGCTTCCCGTGAAGTCTGGGATAGGCTCTAGCCCTGCTAAACGGTTAAGAAAAGTCAGTGGAGTTGGGAAAAGCTTGGATCGCTGAATTTTGATAACGCTAATAGACTGCATGAGCCAAAAAATGCTGGTGTGGTAACAAAATTGCAAAATATGCATATTCTACGTGTATTTCTGATTTTCCTGCTTTGCAAACTGTTACCAGTTTATTATTTATTGTTTGTGTTGCAGTGATTACAATGACCGCCTTGAATTTTAGGACATATTAACACTCATCAACACCCCGTCTACCTCATTACAATCTCATTATAATCAATAATAAAAAGTCTAAATATCAGGTAAAGTTACATTTACAACCTCACTGTTACATTTTAACCAGATTTCACAGATTCAGGCCTCTGTGCTCAACGACTTCATTAAACAAAATGAACATTTTCTAAACTGGACTGAGTTATGTCTTAAAAGCATCGTATTAGCAGTCGTTCGTATGTGTTCATGTTTTCTTTCCTTCTCTGCATTTTGGGGCTTTTAGCTGTGCTCAGCTGCTTTTTTATGAAGATTTTCTTTCAATGTTTGGATGAGCCATCAACTTCCTCTGACTGCCAAAAAAATTGGCCTTTTGTGACTGATTCTGGCACATTTACATGATGAGCACTGTCTCTTTATGAGAAAAATAACAAAAAGGAAAACAAAACAACCTGAAGGCTCCGAAAAAACTGGATCGTATGTAAAAAATGACAGAAAACCTCTGAATGCTTCTGTCCTTTCATTTACACAGTTGTCAAAGGCAGGCTGGTTATCTGCAGTGCGGTGATTAGTTCTCGTCTCAAATGCAAAACTATTGCACTTCCAAAAAAAAGAATATACATCTGCAAAAATATGTTGCAACTGATCTTTTTTTAAACTATTAATTCATATTTTAAAAATCTGTCAATATTGTTTTTTTTCATTCTGTTCTTTTTAAAAATGTGTTTTTAAAATGAACAAAAACCACCAGAAAAACCTGTTCAGACAAAATCTGAACATAAATAACAAGAACATGCATGAAAACATCAGCACCCAACAGTCAAATCGCACCGCAGACATCATAAAAAGCTCTCTGCCTTCCACTGAAGGCCGTGATCGGATTTTAATTTCTCACCTTCCTGCAGTTTCTCAGTGTGCTTCCTACTTATTTTCTACATGACTGACTTTCCAAACCCCTGCCCAGAGTTTTGTAATTGCACAGGTGATCCATTACGTTTGCAAAGAGGGAAAGCTTGAAGGTTGAACGGGTTTAAATTGTTCATCCCAGCAGAGGGATGGAAGACTAAACACGGACGGGAAAAAGCAGAACGGAGAGAATACAAAAGAAAAACATGACAGAGGACACAACACAAACATTGCCTTTGCACAAAGGAGTGTGGCCAGCGTGGTGACGGGCTGGCTGCGTTCCTGTCTTCGCTATATGTTTTTTTCAGCTGTGTCTGAGTTCAGATCTCCTGCCCTCGTCTGCTTTCATTGTTCTTTTTGGGGCATAAAAGAAGCAGCAAAGCAGCCTCAGGCCTGAGCAAAACAATCTGTTGACATTTTTCTGGCTTACCATCAGGATGCTCGTAGGGCAGCCAGTGGTGTTTGGCATTTTGGAATTCAAAGTGGGAGTTGCGGAGCTGGCACTGCTGAGCTCTGAAATCTTCAAAGTGCCTGGGACAGTCATCTGCGTTGCACAACTGGTACTCGTAGTTTACTCCTGGGCAGTCCTGGCCGCCGTTCGATGGGCTGGGCAACGAAATGGATGAACATCAGAGGCGCCGATCAGACAGTGAAGACTTCTTATAAACTTTGAAAAGTGGAAACAAATCCTCCTCCACGGCTTTTGTTGTGTAAAATCCACCCGCACATTTGGCTAAAAATGATTCTCAGCTGTTACGGCTGGTTTGCAGGTGGAGCGTCATTTCAGGGCAGTAATACTATTTACATTACAGTTATTCATTTAATGGGAGTTGATTATTTAAATCAAGCCTCCTGAGTTTTGTTGAAATGACAAATACTTGCCTTTGAAAAGGATTTAAGAAGGAGAGGCCGTACGAATAACACGGATGATTTTACACAAAAGGTTTTGCAAACTTGAAGTTCTACACAGCAATATGAGGCTGAACATAGAGTCTGGTAACTGATCGCTTAGTGTTAAACTTTATATAAAGTCATTTTCACAATGCTTTGACTTGCTTTGACTAAAACCTACGAAGAGACAGGAGAACGCTGCTGTAAGCTGCTTTCATATCTGTCAGCCCTGAAAAACAGCATATATATAAATTAATGAGCTTTACACCAGCTAGCAGGCAGATTTTTGGTTGCCTCAGGACTAAACCAGTGCATCCCTGTTTCCTGTCCTTATACAGACTTTAATTTACCGCTGAGACGGCCAAAAAGAGAACAGGTGACTTTCTCCAGAGGAGCATTCCTTTGGGTTTAGGAAGCTACTTAAAGACTCACATGACTCACAAATACTGGAGGTCTGTCACAAAAGTTATCAGTGTTAGTTTGTGTCATTGGAAAGTGATCATTAAGACAGTACGAAGCACAATATTCCACGGTCAAGTAAAACCGTCTCTTTTAATCCATTATTATTCAAGTATGATAAGCATTCATCATATTTGAACAATGACACTTTTCTGTGGATAATTTCCTCTGTGTACCCCACCACAGTGGATTCTAAATCAAAGAATCAGGATATAACTGAAATGAAGACTTTACCTTTAATTCAGGCGTTTAATAAAAAGTAATTAAGTGTCTACAGCGGTGATTTAAATGGGAAGATTATGAAAGTTCAATTTTATTTATATAGCACCAAATCACACCAGCAGTCACCTCAAGGTGCTTGATATGTAAGGTAAAGAACCTACAGTAGTGTAGAGGAAACCCTCCCCCCTTGAGTAAGTACTTGGTGACAGTGGGAAGGAAAAACTCCTTTTTAACAGGAAGAAACCTCCAGCAGAAGGTGGCTCAGGGAGGAGGCAGCCAGGACAAAAGTCACGTCATTGTTCAAATACTTTACTATTTCTATTATTCTTGATGCCGCCCTGAATCTAATCAATGCTTGTCCACTTACGCAGGGTTGGCGCACTGACGGGTCCGTAATCGAACTCCAGTTCCACAGGAGCGTGAGCAGGAACCATATTTGCTCCAGGAGCCCCAGGCACCATCTTGCTTGACCTGATTAGGGTTTTTCCACATGCAGTGACCTTTGTAGCACCACTACATGAGATGAGAAGGCAAAGAGAGACGGGGAGAGTAAGCCAGCAGAGAAGGTCTCCTGTCTAAATGCTAAACTTTTTAGCCAGAAGGATGTGGGCAGGAATGTCAAGATTTCCGTGGTTACCACAGTTGCTCGTCCTGTGAAGTGATGACGTCATCAGAGATATTTTAAATGTTGCAGTAATCCTCCTAATGCTACTGGATTACCTTGCACACTGAAAAATAGTGCGTGATAATGTGGAGTCCAGCTAGAAGCTGCGACAACAACATCTGAGCACTGCACGAACCATCTCCACCATCCACCGGCTTTTTTCCTGGTGGTGCCCTTATAGTGTTGGTCATGATTTATTGTATGTAGGTCTAATAGACAAACTCACTTTTCCAGGTGCACACTCGGTCCCATCGAGAGGTGGCCCTTTCTTGGTTTTACAGAAGTAGGGGTTGTCTGGGTGGCTGCACCACAGCTGTTTACACGGGTCAAATGTGCGAAACTGGAACACAGACAGCAAAAAACGTTAAGGCAACTGAAAACATGGCACACTATAGGTAAAAATATAGCTGCAGGATAACTCAGCTGCTCATTGTGTTGCCTAACTGAGTGAGCAGAATATGGTCACTTAAAAATAGCAAAGGAATGAGTATCTGTCAGACTTTCTTTTCATATAAGACAAGAATTTGTGTTATATCCAATATCCAAGAGTCCTTGATAAACTAAGGTGCAAAAGAAATGAACATAATCACCCACAGCACAAAAGTAACGATGAAAGTTGTCTGATAAAAGAGGGAGAAACTCTAAAACTGTATGTAGGTATTTGTCGTTCTCACTTCTCTTTATCTACCAGAGAGGGCTGAGTGGGCTTCTTTGATAACGGCTTTTTATTAAGTTCCTCGTCACGTAAGGTGGTCGAACATTTCTGAGGGATCTAAGCAGACAATCAGATTAATTCGAGATAACTTAAAAAGCGACAGTTAAGCTGCCCAAAACATCTCAATGACAAGAGACTGTGCGACAGTTCAAGAGCAGACGTCACTGGTACATCTGTGAGTGTCTGACAGTCAAACAGCTTCCTTCACGTCTGCAGATAAATGTGTGACGCAAGAAGCTTTTGGTTGTTTTTGGCTGTTGATCTCCAGACAATACACAGTTTATAATGTGTGCTACGTGCTAACAGGTATCTCCCAAATATTAACACGCTCGTTATTTTTCACCATGTTTGTGTCATCATCTGTTGGGTATTATTCTGCACAAAGGAGCAAAAATAACACCTCCATGTTGCCATCTCGCTCTTATTCCTTCTTCCATTCCACATCAGGATGACATTTTGACAGTACATTGACTTCTTCAGGCCTGATTCCTTTTGGTTTTGTTAGTAAGGTCGCTCATCACATGTCTTTTGTTCCTGGTCAGAGTAAGGAAGACACACAAGAAGTTGTGTCTTTTATTTTAAAGTTCATTTGGGATTCTATTATTCTAACATCTAACAGCTTCACTAACTTTCTGTCCGATTCTTTGTGGAAGTTAAATTACAGCAACGGTGAGCGCGACAGCCATAAACTGCGGGACTGTTTTTGGTCTGACAGGTTGATAATCAGCTGTCTCTAAAGGACTGTGTTGTTGTCTGTTACACATTTATCTGTCTGCACTGCGAGCACAGGCCCTGCGTGGGGTTTTAATAAAGAGTAAGACATCTATAAATCAAACTCTCAGGCTAAAGCAAACTCAGGGTAACTCTACCACTTCATGTTTTTCTTTTACAGCTTTCCTGATGCTTTTGTTTGATGGAAAAAAGCTAAAACTAAAAAGGAGAAGCATCAAAAGCATAGAAAACATGGTGTATACATGTATATGGGGTGCATGTAGTATTACCTTGATAAATCTTTTTTTTTAATCTCCATATTGTTCAGCCCTTCTTTGTAAAAATGATTGTTTTTGAGACCCAACAGAGCAGCCTGCCTTCGCTGGCCGAACCTCTCTGATGTTCGGTTAAAAAGGCAAAACTGGGGCAAAATGCAGGTCAGGTCCACCTACAGGCAAATCCTGTGACCCAGAAATGTGGGTGTAAAGCTAACGTGGCCTTAATAGATGTAGATAAGCATGCAGGAATTAAACCGGCCACTTGATCTAAACAGTACTTCAGAATGGCCCAGTAAGCAGTAACAGCTGTAATCTGCTCAGCTGGGCAATGACACGCCTAATTTGTGATTTGCTCATTTGCGATGCTAAAACAATCATCTGTGCTAGCATCCAGCTTTTGTGGAAGAGTTAACATCATAGCAAACAAACCTGAACCAACGGAGGTTTTAAAGAGGCTGATCAACAGAGCGTGTCTTGAATCTCTTCACTTCTGGATTTCTTCTGCTTTTTTAACAGCTGCAGGCTGTAAACATCTCGTAGGTAACAGCGTAGACTTTTGTTAGGTTGAACTTGAGTCTTTGCTGTCATTGCACAGTCGTACTTAAATTAGACAATTGTCCTACGTCAGCACTAAAACACAACACAGGAAACTTTAAAGTGGAAAAAGTTTACTTCTCAGTGTAGATGAAGCAGAAATGTTTGCTTGATCTTACACCAAGCTGACACTGGAAATAATTCTGGAACATGAGGTGCAAAAAAAAGTTACTACTTGGCTCACAGTGTTTTATTATTGGATAATACTAGAGCAGCTTTCCATGATCTGTAGTTTAAAATGATCTTTATCCCACACTGGGCCTTGCTTCATCCTCTGTCTGAAAACGAGCCTTTCTTTAAAGTCCTCTGATTGGCTGCCCCTCATAAACAACAGGGCAACAGTACAGGTCATATCAACCTGAACACGAGCCGAAGACACTCTGTGCTCTCAGAGCGAGGTCTCTCTCTTCTAGGTAATGTGAAACGAGTTGTGTCAAATTTAAATAGCCGGTGATGTTTTTAAGTGTTTTAAATACATTTTTAGCTGTTTTTTATCATTTAGATGAGCATTAGATTAGATTAGCATGACTACAAAGGAAGCAGTCTCGGTATATGAGCAACCTGCTCTCGGTGGGCACATCCCTGCTGTCTGTAAAACCGCGAGCACAGTAATAAATTAAACCTCCATGATGTAAATGTCGGTTTAGATTAATTTCATCTAAGCACTTTAACAGGCCTTTTATTAGATTTGAAGCAGAGCACAGACATTAATGGCAAACCTGAATCAAGCAGTTTACATTTTGTACTTAGAGCAAACAGGAAGTTACACTCAGTAAGTTCAGTATTTAAACACTTAGCTGTGGCCGTGGTCTCACATCTACAGGGAATCTTTTGCTCTACAGTCACCAAATGCTGCATTAGGTGCACATCTAGTCACAAACCATGTCGCTGGAGAGGAAATGTTCAGTTTGCTGATCAGAGATCTCGGCATGTATTCTAGACACACACACACACACACACACACGCACACACACACACACACACACGCACACGCACACACACACACAGACAGAGCTCGGGCTGGAAACTCGAAATAATGAGATGAAAACTGCTGAAGTGCTCTGTAGCGCTGCGTGTAGCTGCAGACTTTCATAAACAGCAGAAGTGATCATCTGATAATTTTTTTAATAAGATGATGAAGAGGAAGGAAATTTTAAAACGGCATACAGCGTCTCCTCTTAGCAGTGTATCATCTCGTGAAATGAACAAATAATTACAAAGCAGAAAATAAGAACCAAAAATTGATCTTTGTAGAGAACAAAGGGCATCGAAAACTGTCAGCTACAACCTATTAAACCTCAGACAGAGCAGCCGGGCCTCCTTTTTAAGCTGAAATCAAACAATGCAGCCTTCAGCGATAATAGGACTGCATCACCGGGACTCTGTTGACTTTCGAAATGCTTTCAAAGAAATGCCAACCTCAGTGTAAAGTCAGGACCCCAGACATCGATCGACGATCTTAGCCAGACGCCCAATCCTCAGACTCTCATTCTGTTCCTACAGCTCCCAAAATAATAAGTCGTCTTCTGCAAGTTTAAAGCTTTTTTGAGTACAGCGTGACACTTTCTGCGACACATGATCAACATCGTTACGTCTGCCTCTCATCAGGCTGCTGCATTTCTGACTTTTTAAAACTCACTTTTGTTGTAAGTAAAAAAATAAATAAAACAAAATCTTGCAAACACTCAAAGCTTAAGATTCAACAGCTCATACTGAGCATATCTGTATTTTTATTAGCGCGGTATTCACAAAATTAACAACTGGAAAAGCTCATTTTTATCTGTTATTTGAGCATCTCTGACCTGCTGGAAACAGATGACGGTAAACAGGGACAACGGTGATCACCCTGCCATCTGCAGAGGTCTGGGGAATCACAGGTGTGATTGAGGTTAAACGAGCAGGCTTCTGTTTGAAGCGCTCGATAACCTGCAGACGGTTTCTGATCGTCTGAGATTTCAGAGTCAGTTTCCTCTGGAGGCTGTGATCAGCACAGCTTTCTGCAGAAACCTCACTGAAAGTCCCTGCTCGCTCATCCCAAGAGTCTAAAGAAATAACTTCTTCAACAGTTTCCATAGGATATGTTTTAGCTGGTTTCTGCTATCGATTACATATTTTTTCATCTTTTACTCACAGAAGTGCAGATCTTGTAGCCGACCCCGAAGTCAAATCGACACTGCTCATCCATCGAGTAGTTGATGCCAGGAAGTTCAGGAATCTCCGGCCAGTCATGTTTGAAGGGGTCATCCAGGAGACAATCATACGTGCTGTGAGGACATGAAGGTTCATGTTTTCACTCTGAACAAGCCAAACAAAGTTCACAGGGCCAAAAAGGTTTATTGACACAAACTAGAGATCTTTATTTGAAAGGGCATCTGTACCTGGAAAGCCTGAGGCCACACCCTCTCCTAGATGTGGCCACAAGCCGTCGCATAATTTTTACTTATTTGCTGTCACGAATTAATTCACTCTAAGTGAACCTAAACCACCCAGCAGAGCAAAGGCATCAAACCCCCTCACTGCAGCTTTTCCCTGCAATCATCAGCCCTCTGCAGATAAAACCATCAGTCCAACAAATGATCCATATAACTCAAGTCTCTGTTACGTTGATGTTTTAGCATAACCGGAAGCGTTGTTTTCATTTGTTAATTAGTTTCATAGTTTTGACTTCATTCTGTTTGTTCACTGTGGGAGTTACTGCTTAATGGGTGATTGAATTTAAAGGCCCTGCAGCAACTCAAACTGTTGCATGAACACTAGTTAAACCTGCTCAATATAACAAGAGAAACGACTTGTTGCTCTGCTGTTTGCAGATGCTATAAATGCTGTTATACGCTGCGTGTGGTTTGTTATTAACACATTAGAGTAAAGTTAAAGGACTTTAACAGAAACTTTCAGTTTCATTAAAGAATAATTATATTTTGACCTTGGGAATCTATTATCAACTGAGACATTTAATCCCTCCATCGACGTCAGTGCAAAATCTAATTATTAAGCAAATGATTAAGAAACGAACCCAAAGGAAAGCTAAAAGGCTAAATACGCCCCTCTGATATTTCTTAACTTTTGACCATTCTGATTTTACCTGAATGCGGCACAAAGCTATCAGAGAAATCCAGAAACTGCTTGTTTTCCCACTGAGATTTATGCACATACTTCCTAATTTAACGACAGAGCCAGGTGGTGAGAAGCGGCTCAGCTGCAGTAAACCCCAGCCTGGCTGTTTGTTTTTTCACGGGGCACAGCTAAACCCGGCGCAGAGACAGAGCAGGCATATGTGCCTTTTGAAAATGTGGAATGATTTTTAAACTTCTCATTAAATTTCTTCTCAGCAGCTGCCTCACAAAGTCTTCATATTGAGATAACGCAGAAACTTTTTCCTGCTATACATTGATTTTTGTCAACAAAGGCACCTTTCATAATAAAAGCCAGAAAAAAAATCGCGGTACTGTTTGGTGATTGATTGCTCGCTGCCACTGTCATCCTCTTTGAGGCTCTGTCAATAATTTTGTGTCCACGCTCCACTAAGCTTTGCCTGTCAGTTACAGAGAGAAGAAGAAAAATCCATGTCTATGAACTGAACACAGGCCAACAACGCTGGTGTCAAAGCTCAGACGTCCTCGGGTTAACACGTTATACGGTTATTAGCAGGACACCAGACGACACACACGAAGCATAAAGAAGACAATTTATTCTGGTGGGCGGAGCCAGACATTTTCATCATGTTGCCACTTGGCTGTAAATAATAAGATATTTTAAATATAAAGTGTCTCAACAGATTGGAGTGCTTTAGGGGAAATTCTGGGGTCTCCTCTCTGTCACACTGCATGAATTAGGTTAATTATTCTGTTATTACCTTCAGCCTGCCTGTTCTGACTCTAAAACAGGATTTGTTGTGCTTGCTCACAGATCGTTGGCTTCCTCTTCATATATTTCTTGCTGGTTTTCTATCTTATGATATAACATACACTGACATTACTGTTGTTGTGAGTGTAGACAACACTAAATAAGATGAATGCATGCTGAGGACAAACAGAGTATGAAATATGGGGCAGATAGAGCAACCATGTAGCTCTTTATAGTTTGGCTACTGAGCTGTAAAATGCAATTTGCTCACTGGGCTGTGATTGATTTGACGTTTCTGACACTGCACCGCCAACAAACAGCCTGCTTGTCTCCTTTATACGTTTCCAAGAGTCAAAATTATGGAGGAACATTAAGATGTGCCAAACTCATTCTCCTAATTTTGGTGGCGTTCCCATCCATCCGTCTGTGCTGCAGGACATCACAACTGCGTCTGACCCCACTGCTCCAGCATCCGACTGTCGGGTCTTACTGAGAATTTATTTACTCATCCACCCCAAAATCTCTGAGCAAATGTATGTAGCTGAGGAGGTTGTTGTTTAATAAAGCTTTTAATAAAACATTTCCCAATTTTAACTTAACTCTTATATTTTGTGATTTATTCTTTTTTTTTCTTTTTTTTTTACGCATCCCAGGTGGAGCTCTGGAGTCGTGATTGTCAGCACCCATGCGGAGTACTGTGCAGGTTTATGAACTCACTGGATGTATCGCTTCAGCTCCTGCCCGCTGCACATTGACCAGTGGTATCGATGGAAGGCCGCCTGCACCAGTGGGGCCATCACGCTTCCCATCGCCGTTTCGTCCCCACAGCGGTTGCCTTGGCCATCGTGCTCCATGCCCAACCTGCTCTCACAGGCAGAGACAAACCATAAATTACAAAACAGCAGAACAGCAATACAAGATAAACCTCGACGACAAGGATTTCATTATTTTTTACAACTTCAATTCATAAAACAAGTGGAAAGGTCAGAGCTAGGGCTGCCACAATTAGTCGACTATCAAAATCGTCGACGACTGATTTAATAGTCGTTTGAAGCTTTGTAAGATCCCAAAAGACGCAGGAATAAGTAGCAGGATTTAAGAGTGTAATAACGGACTGAAACAGAAGATGGCAGCACTGCATGTACAAGGATGCCAGCTGCCGTTAAACCCCGAAGAAGAAGAAGCAGCAGTGTCCCAGAATTCATAGCGCAGTTTCCAACAATGGCGGCAGCTAGCTAGTTTTAATATTACTCTTATTATTCTTTCTGGGTCACAAAATAAACGTTTAACATATGTTCAGGCGAGAATGTAGCTGTGTAAACCTCAAATATCTGCTCAGTTTATCAGGACACCACATATTTTCAAAAGCGCTCCGACGTTTTCGGAGACGTCTGTTACCCACTAGCTCGATAGCTAGCCGGGGGCTAGGTCACTAGTGCCCCGAGACCCACCGCCATCTTTCGCTACTCAGGTTAAACATGATATATGAGTCACTTAGATAACTTAAAAATGTTATTGTTTGGCTTTTTTCAGTATTTTATTTGTTCCTGAGTAAATCGGTTTGGCTGAGATCAAAGTTTTTACACAGCTGAATAAACGTCAAGCAGACAACTGATTATCAGAAGTGTGAGATGCTCGAGAATTTACTCCAGTGTCCTGTTATATTTTAGATAGCAAGGAGTTTATTAAACTTCACCGAGACAATCTGCAAACTTCATTAAAATTTAATAAACTCTCATCTTGTCTTTATTTTTAGTTAGCACCTTAAACACTTAAAGCTGTAAGCTAATGATAGTTATATAAGAGCAGATGCTGCTGGTGCAATAAGCTGTCGTTTTACGTCCAATGGATGATGATCTGATTAGTCGACTAATCGCAAAAATAATCTGTGACTAGTCGACTATCAAAATAATCGTTTGTGGCAGCCCTAGTCAGAGCTATAAAATAACCTTTAACAGCAAACCAAACAATAAAGATTCACACGGCTTTTGCGAATTGTACTTTAAATCTGCTGAAACTGAGGCATCTTACAGACGCATTTACATTCACAGCAATGCTGCAGTGTCAACATCTTTATTATCATCTCCACCGTCTCACATGACTTTAAAATATCCTATTAACGATGATTCTTTCAAACGTAGTCATGCTTTTAGCTTTTTACTTTTATCTGACATAACAGGAGTGTTAGTACTTTAATCCAGTCAAGTTCAAACGTTCCAAATCAGACAGACCTGCTTCTTCAGTGTTCACAGTAACGCCCACCATAACTGATGAGATATGTTTTTGTAAGTATGAATGCTTTAAAAAAAAAAAAAAATCACATGATCACATGCCATTGCTTATTTTTACACGTGTAGTTTTGCATAGAGCACAGAGCCTGGTGTCTTTAACGGGTTTCAGCTGATTGTATGTTACATGTGACTTCCTTTGGTCATGGCTCCAGAATGATGGTCCCAGCTCACACAGTGAGAGAGGATCAGCTGATTCGGTCTTTTCAAAGATGGAAACAAACTGACAGTGTCACACTGTCAGAATTCTGTGATGATCATCTGGAAATGTCAGCACCACCATGACCTCCACCTAACCACCCAACACAAACGCTAGAAACAGCATACTCCATAAATAATATGTACAAAGCAAATAATGCTTGGTGCTAATGAACCTGCTGAATCCTGTGTCCTTACTGTTTAGATGAGTCTGTTACATTCATCCCGTGACCGCAGATAACTTTACCGAGTGATGGCGTGGCCTGCTGCTTTAGTTTCTCCCTTTAATCAGAGGAGACAGGACTCCCACTGGTGATGTTCAGTCTTGTACTTCAGTGCAGTCTTTTTGTGAAAGTACTTTTCTTTGAGCTCTTTTTTGGAGCAGGGGTTTGTTGGATTAGTTCTTTTTGCACATGGATTTTGGCAGCTGTCCCGTATTAGATCCATGAATGGAAATCAGTATGTGTTACACTTGGAGATCGTGGAAATTCTTTTTAAGAGAGAATAGAAATAAACCCAGGTACCGTGTGAGCATCCTAACATACACATGATAGGTTCATTTACAGCTGAAGGAAATGTTCATTTTATGACTTCTAGCTAAAGTGAAACATCCATCATCAGACAGTGATGGTCTGCTTTGCCTTCACACAGCTGACTGCAGCCACACTGAAAACCACATTTCCTGCTGTTTGGTTTGCGTCAGACTCCGAGTGAAAAGCTTTCACACCGTCTCAGACAAATCAAACCAAAGAGGCAAACAAATCAGAGCAAATCAGCAATGATTCAGGCAGGTTAGATCGGAAACTCTCAGGAATCAACCCTTCCATCTATGGGCAACTTTTAAATGCAAAATTTTATTTCAGTGCAGCAGGAGGCAGAAAACAGGAGGGAGACAATGACAACTGGAAATAAAAGTATATAGAGTCCATTTTTTGTAACTGCAGATGAATCCTAAAATCCTGTTCAGGGTGTTAGAAAGAGCACCTAACACAGAGCTGTCACTAGAGATGAAAATATGTTCTTCTTCAGAGCTTACTTCACACATTCTTCATCAGCAGTTGGAAACTAGGTGTCAAAATAAAAAAATACTAAACTCAAAAGCTGATATTTAGTAGCTGGAAGCTGAACGGCACATGTTTACTATTTTATTCAACTCACTGAAAGCTGTAGCTGCGTTTACATCATGATGCTGTACGTTATTGTCCCGCCTGACACCAAATGAAGTTAAATGGTCAGACCTGAACGCCGGGTGATGATCTCTGCATAACACTGCCCCTCTTTTGCACCGAATACATGTGCAGGCAACGACGCAAACTCTGTTACAATCGCTCACTCTCAAAGCATTCGTGGTGCAGCACTTGTTTGCAGATGCAAAAGTGACAGAAGTTGTTGCACAGTGACCCTGTTCACATGGTCAGCCGCTGAGGGAAGCGGTAATGATTGCCGCATTGTTTAGTGTTGAAAGGATGCAGAAATTGTCATTGGAAAGGTGTGGGAAGAGGCACAGCGGTGTGCTCGTCACCTACAGCTCACGTCACACAGGATCTTGCACAGGTTAATGACAGAGTTGCAGCAGACGTATGCGCTCAGTCTCATTTTAACACAATGTGCAGACTGAGTCTGACTGATGTAATCGTCGACGGCAACACACCCGCCTTTTTAAGAAACTTGACTTGATGCTTACTTTCTTATTTCGCAGCAACATCCTCTGAGGATCTTGGCCTAAACTTTACTGGAAAAACTCGATGTGGCAGGATATACTGGGTGTGCATTCTAATAGGCTTCATTTCTAAAAACCTCCAATGGTGCTGGAAACATCGATGTCTCTACTACTGTACATGACATCTGAACTATGGAAACAGGTTAATTAAAATAAATTGAGTTCATGTTCTTGGGTTCCTTCTACTTTAAGGTCGTTCGGGGCCACAGAATGGAAGCTGAAGTGAGGAGGCAGGATATAATGAAGCCCAGCATTTACTGTAACTGAGCGCATGTTCAATGAGCCCAGTCTGTTTCCACACCTCTAATTACATGAAGCATGTCCTTCAGAGGTGCTCAGAGTGGACGGCCACAGCTCACTGGCCACTTTAAAAGTAGAGCAGCGTGTTGATGGTAAATGGACTGATTCTTATATAGTGCGTCTCTGCTCTACCTCAGCCCTCAGACATTATACGAGCACTTTTTCCTCAGCTTTGTCTGCCTAAGTGATTTTTTTGTAACGTTCACACTGAGGTTAGTATGTTGTCCAAGAATACTCTGGCATCCAGCCTGGATAAGCCAGGGACCAAACCGCAAACCTTCCAATTAGTAAATGACCTGCTCCACCTCCTGAGCTACAGCCAGGCTCCAACTGTGAAGGTGTATTGGAAGGACTGCTGCAGCGATGCTCACACACAGATCAATAAGGGTGGGGTGCACCCTGGGCAGGTTCCTGTTTCTGCCACAGCGCTCACAGAGAGACACAAAACCTAAAACTAATTTAGAATCACCAATTAACCTGAGTCCACAGAAACGACGGACAGATGGTGGATTCAAACCCACCACCCCGGTGGTCCTGGGTTTCTGCAGCAAGGCACCAACTTTAAAATACTGCCAACATATAAACTTGTTCATTCAGAAGCTTAAGTACTTTACTTCTATAAATTCACAGTTTGTGAGCAAAGGTTTAAGGTTGTCATTCAACACTCCTCTCCTGCCCACATCAACATTGAAGGAGCTCTCGATTGCTGAAACCATTTCTCCGTCTATAAAGGCTTTTAAAAATCTTCCCCTAATTGATATGTGCATATCTGTGATATATCTCAGGACTATACCGATCCTTGCACAGTCTGTAGGGCTTAAAAAGCAGCGATCACCATCATCCTGCCTCTGCCTCGTGCTGCTGTTCCCTTCTCTTCAGCTCCAGATGCTTTCAGCATGTTTAAATTGATTTTTTCCCTCCATTGGGAATTAATCTTTGACGGTAAATTAAATACCTCATTATTTGCCCTCTAGGCTCTTCTCTCAGAACCAGAAAGCTGTGGGTGTGTACTGCACAGCTACTGGTTTCCACACTGCTTTAATCTGTTTTATTTTCTCAGAGCATCTATCGATCCCCGGACATCCCTGCTCACTAGGCCTGCTTCGTTTGCACAGTCGGAGGATTTCATGCTGTGCCCTGGGACATCTCATTGTGAAGGACCCTCGCCATCTGCGCTGGGTTTCAAAAAGCTTCTGTTCCTGCTGAATACCTCCGTTCTCCACGCTATAATCCAGTCTCCCTTTCATTCTTAATATGTTCAAACAAAACCCGCATCATGTACCTTTGTTATTGATCATTTCAAACTCCCGTCTCATGACTGCTTCATCTGTAAAATCACCTGATGCTTTTCAACAATACTGATATATCGCTCTGAGCGTTTCTGATAATCTCTTAAATCTACCGTCTTTTTTCTATCCTGTCCAACTGGACTCAGTCCACTCCAGAAACAGTTTCTGTACCCAGCTGGCAGACAAATATTTGCTCTTTGTTGACAGTCTCTCCCGCTGCGTTTATTTCAAATTTCAGAACTCGCAACAAAAGCTCCACAGGAGACGTGGAAACAGCTTGAAAGAGCAGGAACGTGGAAAATTAGCCTGCTCAGTGTTCTGTTTCACACTGTAGTCCAAGTTTCACCGCACTGCAACCTCTCATGTGAAGACTTCAACTCTGACTATATCACATGGATTAAACTACAGCGCATATTAACCCGAAGGTTTAGGCTTCACACATTCAAGAGACTGTGTTTCAGATGTCTCTTGTTTAACGGCAGACTACAGGAAGAAAGCATGTTTAAGCTGCAGAGGAGTGTTTCCTGTGTGTGCAGAGTCGGTGTTGTTGGTGAGTTTGAATGTTTCCTCTGCCTGTAGCAGACAGTTATCATTCAGGGGGGGTCGTTCCTCATTGCTGAAGGGTAGTATGGGCTAATGCATTTCTACATTAGCTGACAGGTGGGTGGGCCATGCAGTTTTCAACAGTAACATATTAGGTTGAGACGCCTGTTTTCTCTCTTTCTCAGACTTTTCACCTTCATATTCACCTTCTGTTCGGTTCAGGCATCACAAAGAAAAGTGACTTGTTTAGGGTTTCAGAAAAGATTTGTGTACAAATGACAAATTATAAAGACCAATTTGATATTCGCCACAGGACTTTTGTTTCAGCCCTTCTTTTTTTCTTTTTCCAGAATATCTTTTCCCACCACTTCTTTTCATCAGTATTTATCATTCAGCAGCACAGGAGCCATCAGGGATGGTGCGACCTTGGCTATTTTCTGTAGCTACAATTTACAAATCTCCCATAAACACCTTACATGTAAGACACCAACTGTTCTGGAAGCCACAAACACGCATATGCATGTGCATGCACTCCCTCACACACACACAATATATAATTTTAGTATTAATTACAAAAATGACCACGTTGTGAGTTTCTTTCTCTATTTTTTTACATTTGTTTTTAAACTCCACACTCAGAGTTTGGACATTTGGAAATGTGCAGAGATTTCATTACAGCGCTACAGCTTCATTTGATTGGTCGGTTTGTTTACACAGACAAAAAAAAATCTTTATTGATGCTACGATAAAATTAACGCCACTTTTCAAAGCAGCTATTCCAGGTGATTTGGACACACCAACCAAACGGCCCTCACTGTGTCACGTTAATGAGCAAACCACACTCAGCCAGCCAGCAACATGAAGCTAAACGCAGCTTATCCACTGTGCAGTCTGTTATTGTGCATTTACTCAATATGTGCTTAATTCTGCCTTTCAGAGAACGGCAGGTTTTAATAACTTTTTAATGCTTCCAGCTGATGTGAGTTTGTTTATCCTTATTTCATATGTTGCAGGAAATGTGGAGAAAAGGAGAAGATAATGAACAAGGGCTGAGTTCATGGACACATGCTTAGTAAACAACCTCTGGCATGTCCAAAGATGAAAACGAGGAACTCACACGTGTCCGGTCTCATGAGCCACAACAAAGGCGGAGGAGAAGCCGTCTTCGTGGTTCAGGGTGCAGCTCCGGACTGGGTGGCACATTCCTGTGACCGGAGCGTAACCTGCCGGGAGAAACGATGAATGTTACCACAACAAATACAAAGATGAGGACGCTGAAAACAAAACGTCTCCTCGCATCTCAATGAAAGGCGTCAGGGGAAAATGTTGTGTGGAAAAGTATATTAAAAAAAATTAAACAAGTTAAAAATGGAAATTTATTCTATGAAATAAAACTAATTTTGTGTGAGGATGAAATGCTAATCTTATAACCAAAAACAAAAAGTAATGTTTAAAAAGTTAACTGTGCATTATCTGCCAGAAGAGAACAATAAAAATATTATCAATGAACATTTCTTTATTATGCTGAGTCATCTTCATAGTTCCTACAATAACAAAACATGTTTTCATCTGTAATCTTTTCACTTTATAACTGCAGTTTGTTTTAGCTACAACGACATCATCCAAGATCTCGACTGCTGACCACAAACCAAGGAGCAGTGCGGTGATTAAGCACAGACGGATGGACATTATGAGACCACAAGTGGCAAATATGTGCAACAAATGATGCTGTGCTGAGGGCTCGAGTGAGACGTAGAGCCATTTACATACAGAGGAGGGATACTTTATGTAGGACAGATCTGTATGCATCTCGGCCCATCTCTACGTTTAAACGTGTCACGTGTGTCACGTGTGCACATCAGTGATACGTGTTGCCACTAGGGGTGCAACGATATTCGTATCAATATTGAACCGTTCGATACAGTGCTTTCGGTTCGGTACGCATATGTATCGAACAATACAACATTTGTAATTTATTTTATCAACTTTCCTTCTGACGATGCTGTCTGTGTTGAGCGCTCAGTGAATCTGCGTTCGACTACTCCGCCTAGGCTGCACTGTCCAGCGCAGATCCACTGAGCGCTCCACACAGACAGCATCGTCAGCAGGAAGAGCGCAGGGCACCTCCCCCACCCTCATTCAGTTCTGGCGTTTGGAACTATTTTGGTTTTCATGTGAGGTATGACCCTGAAGGTAAGCGAGTCATGGACTAAAGTAAAACAGTATGTTGGATGTGCCACGCAATGCTCAATTACATGGGTGGGAACTAGTGTGCTAGCGCAGTTAGCTCGTTAACGTGTTGGCCGTCTAGCCCCATGCACGGAGCGATCGGCGGTAGCTCGTTAACAGAGATTTGCCGTGTTGTGGCGTTAAGGTCATTTCAACGAGATTAACCTGAAAGCACTAGTGGGAACACAACGAATATGACTGCACATTTACGCCGACATCATCCTAGTGCAAAGACAAGTGGAAGCAGACAAAAAAAAGCAAGCATGCTACTAACTTTAGCCGAGTCATTTAGACAGCTGTTAGCACATGATTCTCCTTATGCTGCTGAGAATATAGCCCAGAAGAAGCGGATAGTATAGCTTTTATTTTGGAAAGAGCCATTTCTCTGTAATAAACTCTCTTTTCCAAAGATGAGTGATTCCTCAATCAGATACAGGGCTCGCAATATCGCTAGCCCGACGTCCCGGAGCTAGTGATTTTTTCAGTCCGGCTACCAAAATCTATCTCTGCCCTGCCCGTTGGGCTATTGTAGGAAAAATATATGTCAATGCTTTTGCATTCTTTCAGAAATGTAGCTGGGTAATTATGTCATTGGCATCGGTGAGCCACTGTCAATATGTGACATATTGAAGTCGCGTTTGAATTTGCGCTTGTTTTTTTGCTTTCACTTTGCAATCGTGCGAACTGTGTATAGAGAGCGACAGCACTGATCTGTGAGTGATGATAATTTGTGCACCAATTCCTCTGACATCGTCTTATTAATCGTTAGCTTACTATGCAAACATGACAAGTGAAATCTCCCGCAGCTTAAACATGTGAGAGGTTGATCGCGCAGAGAATCGCTGAGCTTATGTGAGTGTGTGTAAAAGCATTTCAGTTCTGCTGAGCCAAATAAGACAGGTCAGGGTGAAGAAGTGACAGCCAAAGAAAAGCTTACCACAAAACGGAGAAGTTATGACAAATCAGACTATAAGGCAAAAAGAAAGTGCAGCTTTTTGGTTTCATGGACAAAAGAATTTCTGTGGCTGCAATATGACGAGCTAAATAACCAGGGCTGCACATAAGTGGTCCGCAGGTGTGCATTCGCTGTCAAAATAAAAAACACGCACAAGGGTTAGGGTTCAATTTAAAAACTGTACTTTTGAGTTAAAATATATATTTATAATTTTAATAAATGACAAATTAAAAATGCATGAACATTTTTTTGTATCGAAAAAATATCGAACCGTGACACCAAAGTATCGAACCGAACCGAACCGTGAATTTTGTGTATCGTTGCACCCCTAGTTGCCACTGCTGCCAAAAGACAATACACATTACACACAGCAGCACAGTGACAGCAGGGGACTTAGGGGATAATTAATGGCGATTATCGCTGCTTTTCCATGACTTCCTGCTATAAGCACTGACATCACATGGTCACTGCTAATAACTGGAGCCACAGGCAGCAGCAGTGAGAAGGACCAGCAGGGCCAAAAATAGAATAAATATTCTACTTATTTTTATTGTTTTAATGTCTACACATCCAGTTTAGCTGCAACATCATGAAGGACATGAACTTTGTTTGGAGCCAAACTGCAAGTACTGATTTACAGGAAGTGAACCTCGCACCACAAAGAAAGAAATGACATTAGGAAATATAGATTTTGGCCCAAATGTGCCAAATATGATGGTCTGCCCGAAAGCTAAAAAGTACCCACTGATCATTACGACACTAGGTTCTAAATCGAAATCAGATTCCTGCCTGCGGACTGATGGATTTCCCCATGCTGTTTGTTTAACTCTTAACAGTGGTACCAAGAGGGAGACACACACACACACACACACACACACACACTCTCTCTCTCTCTCTCTCTGTGCCACTTCAGATCAGCACAGTTGACTCTTCATCTGTTATGCCCTCCCAAGGGTGGGATTACCTTGGGAATTGTAGTGGTGCACTAGTGAATGTTCCAGCACTTCCTCGTTCGCCCAGCTGTCACGGTTTAGATGAGCGCGTTAGAAAGTCGGTGAACTCCCAGCAGTCCGGGACCATTTCAAGGCCATTAACCACAGGTAACCTCAACACGCTGGCAACAATAATATTGCGTAGACCTTCATCATCATCATCCACTTACTGCTTTATTACAGCGACAAACTAAAGGACAGCGAACATTCATTAGCAACATGTCCTACAGGATAGCAGCTAGGGTTTGTATCATGTGCTGTTCATTAGTGTTGGTGCATTAATAATGCAATAACTCATGAAGCATAGTTGTTCCTTGTGAAAGAGCGAGTGAGCAAACATGGTAAACTTAATGAGAGCACGCATGCAAGCAGAGCCACCGAGGCAGGGTGTGCGCTAGCACTCAAACAATAATAATAATAACTGCTGTTGTTGTTTTGTTTTGCCCCTGATGAACACTTAAAGTCAAGTGGACCCTCAAAGCTGTTTTCTAAGAATGGCCTCTCTTTTTGTGCATATAAATCAAATCTAAATCAGAACCCAGAGCAGCTTTGTCGATTACTCCTCTCACTTTGTTTTTATTTAATCAGACATTGCGGGCATTTCCATGGCTGCAGGTCCCCCGAGTGCTGAACTGAAATCTCTGGATTACAAATACGGTGAGGAGGATAGAGAGGGATCAGCGTTTTATTGGAAATCAAGCTCAGAAATAAACAAACACTTTTCTCCTGACGTTCTTAAACCTTTGACTGCTCATTATTTCTGCTCATGCTGACCATTAAGAAAGAATCTCCGAGTGTTTGTCAAATACATCGGTCTGTAAGGAAAAATGAAATGTGCATTTTGTACATAAGACACGTCTTTGGAACTGCCTTCTTTCATCTGCACAACACTGGCGTTCATGCATTTGATACGTCCGGGTGAACTTCGTGATAATCACAGAAGTGACTCCAACCTAAGCTCCATGACAAGTACTGGCATGGACTAGTAACAGAGGTCACATGTCTGTGAATGCCACCGCTCACATTTTGGACAGATGGTTTCAAAGCGGGGTGAAAGAAGCCATCTACATCCACTGTCAGCGACCATCGTTGAAGAGAGGGCGGGGCTTACGTCACCAACCATACCAGTTAATGTTCTCCTGTCTTGATAGCAAGTATAGCCACGAGGCTTAGAGTTAATGAATTCTTCTACACAACAACAAACCCAGTATCATCGAAGCTGTGGCACAATCAGCACACACAATAATCCTGCTCAGATGAGTGAGGCTCTTACAGATTGTGTCCATGTAGCTCGACTCACATCTCTGATTTTAGGCTGTAATGGACTGAAGGATAACTCAGATCCAATTAAACTGAAATTCCACTTCCAGCTCAGGATGGAGATTGCTTCACACTCTAAGTGGAGTCCTCACACCTTGAGCTCGACTACATCACACTGACTTTCTGTATTTTGACACTCTCTCTACTTTATGCCGGAGAAAAAGAGGCATGTGTGTGTGTGCTGTTGTGTGAAAGCAGCAGACGACTGGTTGCAGCCACTTCTACCTGGTAATTGCCGGAGTCCAAATGCTGGGAGGACTGGTAAATCCTGAAGTGCTGCTTCATCTGTGCAGCACTCAGGCTGCAGGGAGGTTTGTTTTATTTCACTTGCAACTATATTTCATAATTAACTTTTCTATACGTTTCCTTCTGTTTCATTTCTCCCAAGAATTGTTTAAATGTTACCCTCATTCAGTCACCCATTTGGGGAAAACAACATTAACCCACATCTCACCTGAGATTTATTGCAAAAGTGGGGGAAGTAATTTATAACATTTATACAAACTATTTAGCCTTCACCGAGAGTCCAGATCGGCTGTTTCCATCTTTCCAAGTGACTTTATTATAACTGTGTGTCTCTTGTTTTCAGAGGAAGCCCACAGAGAGATCAGAGTCGGGGTTAAGGTTTCAGGGCTCTGAATGCTGAAGCTTGTACGGTAACGTTCAGGCTCCCAGAGGTGAGCCAGTAAAGCTTAGGTTTAGAAGGACCTGAGAAAACTTTTAGTTAAAAACCTTTGAGTAATCTGTCTTGTGAGTGAGACTAATATGTTAATTAAATGAATGTGAAAAGGTTACAGATCCACTCGAAGGGAGCAGTTCATTCAGTCATCAATCTGATCTGATGTTAAAGAACTAACGGAGCATGAATAACTGAAATAACTCAGAACAGCAAAGAAAGACCAACCAGAGAACGGCTTAAAGCTGACAGTGTTGATGCTCGGAGTCAGTGCAGTAACCACAAACATCGCAAGTGATCCGTTTTTGGCTGCTGGTCTTTTGTGCTGAAGAACTCAATGCAAAGAAAAAGACAACTGACCAAACAGAACATGAGGGAAATTAATTGTTTTCAAAGTATTCACTGAAAATTTGGACAGAAATATTCAAGCTAAGTGGCCAAAAGTTTGCACGAGGACTGGATTTTAATACCGCTCAACAACTTCCAAACAGAAGCCCAGAAAAGATGCACTGCTGCTGAACTCCAGCTCCAAAGACGTAAATCATCACACCCGTAAGGTGAATCTAAGCTTCCTGCTATTCCAGGAGGAGAATGCTGCTCACAAAGAAGACCGACAGATAAATCAGCAGCCTGACATAACAGCGTACAAACGAATACGAAAAGCAAAATACACGGACAGTAAAGATGGGAGCACATCAGGATGCAGAAGGACGAAACAGAGCATCTAACCTGAGCATGCAGTGTGCTGTGATCAGCACCTGACTGACAGAATCAGTGAAACCATTAAAGAGAGCCGTCCTTACATATGAATCTATAACACATTTCCACAATCAAGCGCAGACCAAATGTCTCTGCCGTAGGGCTGCTCGATTATGGCAAAAATGATAATCACGATTATTTTCACTGAAATTGAGATCACGATTATTTGACGATATTTATTTAACCCTTTAAGACCTACTATAGAACCAAGTCCACCAGAGCTTATTTTTTTTTTTTACATGCTGTAGTGCCATTTGTGGGAGCATTTCAAGTTGCTATACATCAATACAACTGTTATAGCCCATATTTTAATAATATGTATGCATTAAGTCCATAGTAATTACATAAATTGCAAAAAAGCGCAATAAACTACAAAAAAAATTGAAAATCGCTTTTGTTTTGTTTACATATATTTCTACTTGGAGAAATTTAAGAGGCTTATCCCTCAAAACTTTAAATACAATAAAGTTGCAAAAAATAGTTTCCCACCACAGGAAATTTATTTTGAGTGTCTTCATAGTTTTATTTTGGAGATACACCAATTTTTATATACTGCAAAAAAAACAATCCTATGATGCAAATTTGCAAAGAAAACAGCAGGTGCATCATTTCACTGTGGGAAGTGTTATGAACAGCTGATAGGAACGGCAAAGCGTGTTTCTGGAATATTATGTTTTTGTTCCTGCAAGCGCTTTTTATGCAATTTTTGCAAAGCTATATGTGGAACGAAACCGTGACCGAGGACAAGCTGATGGCATCAGATGTAAGTACAACTCCTCCGGTTTCATATGCAAAACAAATTATTGCGCTAGCTTACACGGTTCAGATTCTACAGGGATTTAAAAATAGTTACGCAAAACGGAGCGTGCTGCTCTGACCGGCTTCAATGACTTTAAAAAAATAATATAAAATAGTGTGCAACACCACTGAAGTTTTTTTACCTCTCTTTTCAACCAGCAGCAGTCACTCTCCTCTCCAAATAATTTCTGCTTAGCTTTCCGAGCTTCCCTCGGGTCCTCTTAATCAGCGGTCTCCAACCTTTTTTGCGCCACGGACCGGTTTATGCCCGACAATATTTTCACGGACCGGCCTTTAAGGTGTCGCGGATAAATGAGGGAGGGGCTAATAATCGGCTCAGTCATTTTTAATGATCGTTGAAAGCCCAGATCGTAATCGTGATTAAAATTCGATTAATTGAGCAGCCCTACTCTGCCGTTGCATTCACTTGCAAATAAAACGTCTGCTGCAGCTTCTGTAGCAAATAAACGAAGAATACAGCAAGTGGAGGCTTTTAATAGTGCTGACTTTGGGCATTTGGCTGCTTTCACTGCTGAAGTTTGGCTGCTATAGAGAAAATAAAAGGAGGGAGGAGAAGCCGATATCTGGCAGACACTGGAAATTGCTTCCCCCCCCCAGTCTTTCAAATCAGCCTCAGCAACAAGAGTAAAAGTGCCAAAAAAGTAGCACAAAGGGAGAGTCCACCCTTTCTGTGCGTCATAGCAGTAATAACGAGGCTTTTCATTGTTTTCTCTTCTTGGTGCCTCTTTGTGAATCATTTCAGTCAATTTAACTCAAGCAACTGGGGCACAAACATTTTTTATAGTTGCATTTAAAATGTAATCAGAGAGAATCTGGAGTGAATTCACACGTAAGACGTGTTTCCTAAATGTTGAATTTGCAGAACGAACGCTTCAAAACTTTTTTTTCTGCTCTCACTGACAAGTTGCACATTTTGCAACACAGAAAGCTGACTGGTGTGTATCGTGACGGGTAATCTCCCTCCGGGGCCTTACCCTGCATCCCTGTGGGGCCGAAGCCTTGGCGAGTGAGGAAAATTGCGTGGTCGTGGTGTTCGGCGTGATCGGGATCGCCTTTCTGCTGCACAAAGGCCCAGCGGCACACGTTCTCCAGGCTCCGCGATGGGTTGCCTCTCTCAATGAGGCTGATGGACTGAGAGGAAAAAGGAGAGAGAAATGCAGATGCAAATGAACATGTTGGTACTCTGGCAGCAGCCTGTAATTACTCAGACTGTGAAGCAGGAATAGTATGTGGAAGCCCTGGGCTGAAAACGAGAGGATAGCGAGCTGAAGGAGTCGTGGCGAACATAAATCACCTAAGTGCCACTGCTGATTACAGCGAGCAAATGGAAATGTGCGTTTTGACACTGTGTGTAAAAGTGAGTTAGACTAGGTGACCTCTGCAGTCTGCACACATTTTCATCTCTATTTCACTCCTCTGTCATAAAAGGGAATGTCACCTGCAAAAAGAAGTTTAAGAATTAAAAAAAAGCAACGGAAAAGGACGCGGGGACTCACCTTGGCATACCCCAGCATAATCATCCTGACCAGAACCACGTTGATGTGGACTCCCAGAGACTCGTCATGGTAAATCTCATTCACCTGAGGTGCAGGGGAACAAACAACACTTTTAAGGAATCGGAAATCTGAAATTTAAGGTAAATCTCAGTTCTAAATCCGACTCATTAGAGTGAAACAGGTTATTCCTCACGACTCCCTCCACGAACGTCTGTAATCAAAGAGACCAGGTAAATATGAATAATATGAACAATAGGAGGGAGCAGCTTGTTATCTTAGTTTTGATATTTGCAAGAAACAAAAACATCACGCTTTGGATATGATGGTGCCTTCAGCCTGCACAGCCGCTACTAGTCATTAAAAGAGAGATTATGACTTGATATGGAAATGTGCTTATGCATGTTGTCTCTGTATTTAGATAGATAAAAACTCAACTCTTCATGGGAATGATTTCCTGTAAAGAGCTCCGGAGAAACCAAGCACTGAGCACGTGACAAAGTCGTTTAGTATTCAACCCGTCTTGGTTTCCTGCAGCCTCGGAAGTAATGTAAAGAGAAGCGAATGAGTCAGTGAAGCAGGCTGGTGAAGGACTCTCCACAGGCAGCCTGACTAATGTTTTCTATCGATTTGAATCTGAATGAAACAGTGAAGTGAGACTTGTGCACACAAGCTTTCTATTTTAGCAGTCAACACCATTATCATCTGCAGACATGCATGTTTGTTCAGACAAAGGCATCGCATCTCCTCCATATCTGCAGGTGTGTGAGATATCAAAAATGCACAAATGCATTTCCTGTTTAAATTATATCCATGTTCACTTATCCTCATGAGGCGTGAATAGCAAAGACAGTTACGTTTTACAATATTAATGCATGAAGACTTTGCAGGACTGCTTGATAGCTGCAGAGCTACAGTTAGCAGAGGACACTGTGACAGTCCACCACCCATTTTCCTTTAATTTAAAGTCATTATAGTCCTGTCCCACTTATGCATACATGTTATGCAATTAATTTAATGCTGAATATATGACATGATGCCACGCGTGACACAAATTGCCAGTTTCGATTGACTTTGGGGGCCATATGCATGTATTGGTGCTTTGAAGGAGGATTTTGATGTTCTGACGTCCCGTGCACTTTGATTGGGTCATAATAGTGAGAAGTGTGAGATTGTCAAGCCCACAGTGTTCACATGCAAAACATTTAATCGGACATTATTATTTGGCTGGAAACTGAGCGGCAGATGAATGAGCCAGTGACGGTCACCTATGAATGGAAGCAGCTGCAGCAAGCACACTTCCTCTGCTGAACAAAGCCAACTCTGTGCACTTAATTACTGTGGTCATTCTTTTGATATTAATGAGAATCATTCTGCATTTTCAAACTTGTATACTAGATACTACAAACATATTTGTAGATGGCAAAAAAGATCCGTTTACATAGTTGTGATGGTGACCAGAATGAATGTGTGAAAATGAAGAAGATTGGATCATGGGGGTAGATTTAAGGGACACTTACCACCAATATTTAAAATACATCCATTTGTCTAAAATGTGAACGAATCCTTATTCAAGAAATCTACTGTAAATATTACTCAGAGGTGCCCGTTTCTCCTCCTACAGTGGGTCTTTTTTACTCCTAAAACATACACTCACTGTCCACTTCACTACACATGTCCTCAACTGCTTATTTACCCAAATATCTAATTAGCCAATCACACGGCATCAACTCAGGGCCTTTGGGCATGTAGACATGATCGAAACAACATGAAGGTCAAACTGAGCATCAGAATGAGGAAGAAAGGTGATTTCAGTGACTTTGAACATGGCATGATTGGTGCTGGTCTGAGTATTTGAGAAACTGCTGATCTGCTGATCCAACAAAAACATCTCTGGGTTTATAGGGAGCAGTTCAAAACAAGAAGATATCCAGCGAGCAGCAGCTCTCTGGGTGAAAATGTTTTATTGATGCCAGACGTCAAGGCCGAACGGGGCCGGCTGTTTTTGGCTTAATAGGAAGGAAACAGCAACTCAAAAACCACTTATTAACAATAATGTGGTTTGATGTGTTGTGCATTCATCTCTGAGTGCACGGCACTGTACCAGGGGCCACTCCTGTCAGCAAAGACCAGGAAACAGCTGGCTCACCAAAACTGGGCAGCAGAGGTTTAGAAAATTGTGCCCGATTTCATGAGTCTTGATTTCTACTGTGACATGTAGGCTCACAGTTTTGGCGTAAACAACAAGAAAGCATTCAGCCGCTCTGCCGCGTATCGATGGTTCAGGCCTTTAGATATAATGTCAGGGATGTTTTCTTAGCATATTTTGGACCCCTTAGTACCAACTGAGAATTGTTAAAGGACACGGCCTGTATGGAGTATTGACTGTGTCCATCCCTTTATGATGTACCATCTAACATGGTTGTAATGCACCGCGTCACAAAGCTCAAATTATCTCAAGCTGGTATCTTGAACATGATGACGTTCGGCACCTTTGAGATGGGACAGAGGGATCTGCAGATCTGGAGCAGCATCTGGCTGATGCTAGCACATCAATATCGTCCAGATTCTCTGAGGAATGTTTTGAGCACCTTGTTGAATCTGTGCCATGAAGGATTAAGGACGTACTGAAGGTGAAATGCAAGTATTAGCAAGGTGTAACTAACGAAGTGGCCGTGAGTGTAAATATGAATGGTGATTTTCCACAACCACTGAATGTTTTGTGGTAAATATAATTAGCCCCGCATCACCACCAACACCAACGTGTCATGATCATAGTACCGACTACACAGCATCTCCTCCTCTCCTGTGGCATCGAGGCAGGGAGGAGAAAAACGAGGAGAAGGTGCAATATTGGAGAGTAATTAAAGCGTTTTGCACAGTTTTCCTAAATATCTATATATAAACGATCGCTGTGTGCTGAAACACACTGAGCAATGGAAGCCACTGGGTCCAGTTACTTAAAATAAATCCATCTGAACAGGTGCCACATGCATATTTAAGCAGTTCACTTCAAACAACAAAAATATTCTGACACAGACAAAACTGTCAAATTGTTCCGGTCTGACTCTCACGTCTGGATCCAGGCGAAAACAAAAAGTGGACAGGAGAGTGAATCACGTCTGCAGGAGTTCACAGCAGGAATGAAGTCAACGTGTTGTGACTAAGCTCATGTTTCCATACTGTCGTGAATATTCGATTCTGCTGGCACAAGGAAGGTCCCCAATTCACAATTAGGAGAAAGGATTTGTCACTGCTTGGCTGCACAACAGAGGGACAAAACCCAAATAACATGTGAAGGAGACTCACAAACAGGACAAATTCATCACGAGCCAGCGAACTCTAGCGCTAATCCCAGCACCAGGACACCTGACAAACATTTTTACTAGTCTGGTGTGATGACCCCCCTGAGGAAAAAAGGTACCACTTAAAAGTTTATCTACAGTGTCAATACACTAAGTGTGTTCTCTAAAATGCTAAATTCTGCTTTCATTGCAGCGGATGCTAACAAACTTGATGGCAGGGAAACTGTCAGCATTTTTAGTTCATTGTGTTCTTGAGATTTTAATGAGTTTGCTTATATTTCCAGTTCATGGTTTCCTGTATGTGAAATTCCTCTCGTGTCTGTGAGTCTGTAGTCTTATCTGTGTCTCCGTCTCCTCGTCCTTTGTGTGTGTCTCCCTTCCTCAGTTTCTTCCCCTCGGTCCCTGGGTCAAGCCCGCGTGTCTTAGCCTGCATCTTAGTGTGTTTCCTGTTTTATTTTGACAGTCGCTCGTCCCAGGTTCAGGGGGTTTAGTTTTGCTTCCCCTGTGTCACTATGTCTGATTCGTCCCAGCTGTGTTCCCGTCTGTTTCCGCTTCTTCTAATGACCCTGTGTAGCGTAGTGTAGTGTAGTGTAGTGTAGCGTAGCGTAGTGTAAGGTTTTATTGTGGGAAATTATTTGGGTCACGAAAAAAAGTTACAAGCAGCAAAAATTAAGAAAAACAATAGAAAAGAATGAGATAAAACAGAATAACATACTATGTTGCATCAGACAGTATTGCACAATATTGCACATAAGAGAGACATCTCTAAGACTTAATTTAAAAGTTACGAGAAAACAAAGGGGAAATAAGTAAGAGTAAGAGTAAGAGCTGCTGTAACATGCTGCCACACACGGAGGTCGTCTGTTCATTTCGGGTCATGTTCAGGTTTTTCGATGCTTAAGGTTCTACGTCCGTAGTGTTTAGTATTTCAGTTCTCAGGTTGGTTCTCGTCCTTGTTCTTCTGCCTTTTGTTTGTATTTTTCGTGCAGCCTAAATAAACGGCCGTTCCTGCCTCGAGTGTCTGATTTTAGGTACAAACACAAGGTGCAGACAAATAATTTCACTCACTACTTTATCCAAATACAAACTGACCAAAGAGTTTCACCTCCTGGAATTACCATTTATTTTCACCACCTCCCGTGATCCTTATGTGCGTCACGGGGGGGTGGAGCCTATCCCTATGTGCAGTTTAGAGTTACCAGTTAACCTATCTGCACCAACTGCACGTGTTTGGATTATGCCAGAGAAATGCAATTAAAATACATTTTTCTAAAATATTGATGGTAATCTTAATTTCGCAGAGCACTTCTCGTGTAACATGACAACTGGAAAAAGAACATACATGTTACTGAACAAACTCTGCACGTGCCCATCATGCAGCTTTCACCGCTGTTGTTTTGTCACCAACTGATTGACTGCACGGTGCTCACCGTGCAGTCAATCGAATCAGTGAACAGGTCAACATCTTGCCATCTTTCTCTCTGACATGTTACATGAGAAGTGCCAATTAGCAGAGCATGAGGACCAAAGTCACAGGCAGTGGGCCTCATTTTCTTTGGGCCAGTGATTTCTCACTGAGCTCATCTGCCACATTACACAATAAGTCAGTGCTCTCCACTCAGGACAGAAGAGGTGGACAAAAACATTTCCCGGCAGCGTATCATCACGTTAAACTGTCCCCAGAGCATCCTTTTTGCTTTGTCGACTTCTTGAGGCGATGCAGCGCTGGACGAGCAGGACCACTCCCTGCTGCTCCTTTGCATTTGTCACTCCTTGGGACTT